CCCCACTCTGTCTCTGGTGAAGCCTCTCACCGCCCCTGAGCCTCTGGCCTGTACCCCAGTTCTATATGCACAAATAAATAAATCTTTAAAAAAAACAAAAAAGGGAGAAATTAAAACACAGACACACACAGTCATGTGGCTGACTAGTTATGTTATCATAAGCCAAGGAAAGATCAATAGTTATTAAAAAGGCTAATTCTGCAGTGTCTTCAGGGGAGCATGGCCCTGACAGCTTGATTTGGGATGTTTTATCTCCAAAATGGTTAGACAATAAATTTCAGTTTTTCTAAATCACCCAGTTTGTGATACTTCCTGACCGTTCTAGGAGTTCCATACAGTAACCCACTTGTTTTGAAGATTATTATAAATTACCATCCTCTTGCTCTTTGAGAATGTCTACTTTACATTTTTAGTAAATTCAGAAGATACCAACACTAACCAGACTCATACTTGAATAGGTAACAATCAAGGTTTATTGGAAAATGTTAGAAATAAAGGACTAAAATATCAAAATTTATCTATGAAATGCGTAAGTGCATATATTCTAAAGTTCAATCTCATTAAACTTGTGTCTTTTTTCTTTATCAAATAAAAATTACTAGTTTTGGCAAAAAGAAATTTTTTTTACTCAAATGTTTTTATTGAAAAAGTAAATGATTAAGCTTAAATATCAACAATTTAGTCACTTCTGATGTTCATACTCAGTTAAAGCTAATGGTTTATTATTCCACTTCTTTGTAGCTATTTTCAAGCTGCTTAAGTAGTATTTGGAAGGATTAGTCACTATTACTCACTTGTCAAATCCTGAGTTCAGAATTTTGTTTTCTTTTTGAGATGAATAAAAAAGCACCTAAAACTCAAGGAAAATATTCACCCTGTGAGAAGGAAAAATAAAAGAAAGCATGTTACAGTAAGGCTACAGCCCTCACTAGTGCTCAAAGCATTCTTGTGCAAAATGATTCAGATACACCAAGCAATTCTTAAAAAAAAAAAAATCACTGTCACAAACTATTCAGAAAAAAAATGATAGAAAGATGTTACTGGCACTGGTTTTATAAAGATGTCAAAATCTTTAAAATTTTTATGGAACAGTGTCCCTTTTGAGAATCTTGAGGAAGTGCTCTTCTTACACAAAAGACTGCTTTAGTGTAGATAATCACTCCCCTCTGTAAGTAGGGAGAAAGGAAAGTTCTGTTCCTTTTTCTCCCCCATTATCTTCTTTCTTCTCTTAAATAAAATGAAAAACCGACAAAAGCAGCAGAAAGATCTAATTTAGAAGTTCTTTTCCGGGTATTTTCAGCGCTGCAAAATCCAGGGCAGGCGAAGTGCGTATCACAACATTCACTTACAACGTCTCAGTGGAACTGGACCTAACTAATGTGACAATTTTAAACAAATTTCACTAATCAGAATCCTACTAACAGGAAACTTTCTCAGAGAATCCTAACTATAAAGACAGTATTGGGTAAAGTTCGACAAGACCCCAAATCAAACGCCTGATAATGTTATACTCTGCAACCCCACCATGTTACACCAATTACGTTCTCACTTTAGTTCTCGAAACTACTTCCCATTCATTATAGAAATAAGCAACCGAAAGTTGTACACTGACTCTTAGTTCTGAAAAACAACGGTCAGCCGAGATTAATGCGCCACTGGGGCAATGATCAGGACGTACAAGGACAAAGCTAAATCAGATCGTCAAAGTTTGAGAGGTGGAAGTGAGAACGAAAGGTTAGAGTAAAGGCAACAAGAGAACCTGCACAATACACATACTTCAACTCAAATCCCTGGAGGGACTTGGTGCACCAAGTCTCAAGGTCAACGGGCCAAGGACACAAAATGCCCAAGCCGTACCAGGTTTAACTTGATACCAGAAGTTCAGGCAAAACCACGGGTACGAAGCCATGAGGCGAGGAATTTAAGTCCATAAACAAAGATACTGTCAGAAAAATAAGCTGATGGCTGACGCCACCGCTCTAGGTGGGTGCGTGCGCGCACACACACACACACACACACACACACACACACACACACAGTCTCTCGAGTGGGTGCAAACACCAGCAAGCAAGCAGAAAGCACTAGGAGCATCAAAGGCAGGGCACTGAAAAGGACTGTGGTGGATCAACCATTGCGGTACGACACACCCCGGAAGATGGTGTGGCTGCCCTGGGCAGAGCAGGAAGCCGAGCCCCGCCGAGGTGCTGTGTAGGCTCCTTGCACTACCGAGACGCCGGGCCGGGTTGGGCTGCACAACCTCCTGCTAACCCTCCAGTCACAGGCCTTCTCCTCTTACCTTGTTCAAACTCACAGAGGCATTCAACTGCCCAGGGGCCTATCTGCCCCCGGCCCAAAGGCCGGCTTAACTCGGCGCGCCTCACTCCGCCATCTTGTGCTTTTCCCAGTCTGCCAACCCCGCGGCCCGCCGCTCCCACAAGCCCCGCCCTGCCGCTCATACTGAGTGATGATTGGACAGCCGTTTGAGCAAGCGCACTCTTCCTCGGCTGTGTATTGGTTGCAACGTAGTCAATCAAAGGGCTAAGTCCTCTTTTTGATCCCTATTTTGTCGCGTTCGGCCCGAGGGTTGAGGTAATGGGGAAAAATTGCTTTTGTAATTTATTTGTTCGGAGTGTATAATTATTTTTGATGGAGACGTGGGGTAGAAAGTTTGGGAAGGAGGCATCAAAAGACCAGAAACTGAAGTTGGGGGTAGAAATTATTAGTATTTTTAAACCAGTTATAAATATGAAAAATCTTGTAGCCCCAAGGGGAGATAAGGAGAATTGATCTATACAAAGGACTGCTGTAGAAAATATGTGAAGGGACAGGCCACAAATGGGGATATGGAAATTGAGGGCCATTATTTACCAGCCCTTATAAATTAATCCAATTACAAGCTAGAAATGTTTAATTTAATAGATAACAATTTCACAAAGGAATGAACATCTCCAAAAGGAACACTATAGCAGAACAACTCCTGCCTAGGCAAAAGGCAGCTCCTTCTGCCCATGTCTGTGTCTTTTCTTTTTTCTAATGAACCTGCCTTCTTAGATCTAACCAAATGTCTTTGTCACCCTGGCAAACTTGCCTATCACTGAAAGGGGAACTGTGCTGAAACTTTTCTCCAGAAATAAATCCAAGGACCCCACTCACCAAACCCCAATTTCTCATCAAAACTCCATCAATTTCTACTAGACACTATGTCACATCCTGGCAAAATGGTCCAATTTAGCCTGCATGACTATTTTAAGTCAGTGTTAGATTGAGCTATACTAATAATTTCATCTCAGATTCCAAGTCCTTTCATCGGGATTCAAAACCTCAGCAATTTAATTTCAGTTTCTTTGTATTTTTTCTGACACATTTCGACTTAAAAGGACTTGATGGAGGAAGGAATGCAGGGGAAACATCACAAAACTGAGTCACACAAAGGGGATAGGTAGAGAGGCAACTGACACAGCCATAAAAATAAGGTCCTCTGGCACCAAAGCCAGGATGCCTGGTGCCCAGGTGAAGACAAGGACATGGAGATGGAAATGAAGCTCACTAGGGATTTCCGGTCCTCTCACATTCTATTCAAAGTCAGCAAACACAGGCTCACAAGGAGTGAGCCTCTCCCAAAGAGAAGCTGTCTATATCTGGACAGTCTCTCCACCAGCATGGGCCAGCCGCTCCACTGCCCACCTGTGCCTATGCAAGTGTTTCTTTCCACCCACTCTCCCTCTGCAAGGCCATAGCCTGCTGATTGCCTGTGACCTGTACCATGCCGTGACTTCTCTGTACTGACCTCCCTTAGGGGAGGCCGCTCTCCTAAGACCTCCTGCCTGTAACCATGCAGGTCTCTTTCCCTGCAAACCTGTCCCTTTGGGGGCACCTCTTCCTGCCCACTTGCACCTATCCAAGTGTCTTTTCCTCTCCTGCCTCTTTCTAATAAACTTCCTCTTTAAATATAACTGAGTCTCTGCCTTGTGGAGAATCTCACCGTGTGCTGCTGAAAGGGGAGCTCTGGTGAAACCTTTCCCAGAGTGAAACCAAGGACCCCGAACTCAAAAGATGACATCAGACACAAATGTTGGTATTGCTTTTTACAATACACAAAAGCAGGATTTGTAGCTTTTCTTTATGGGCCTTCTGCCATAGGTCGAAGTAACAATTGACAGTTTTGTTGTTTTCTATACCCAACTGTCCGGCTCTGAGACTTTATTCAGCAACGATTCCAGGAAAAGCACAGAAGGTAACTGGGCTTCCTCTTGTGGGGAGTGACAAAAGACAAGGAGTAGGCTACTAGGGGAACTCAGTGTTTCCCTAATACCATAAGGCTGTCATCCGGGCCACTTCCTAGAAGTACTGATTCTAATAGTTGAATTTCTCAGAGATCCAGTTCCATTAGTCTTCAAAGAGGCTGAGGAATTTTATTTTACCGAAGCTCCTGATAAAGGGCATCTACAGAAAAACATATAGTTCCTATTATACCTAACAGTGAGACTTCTATTTACAGCCACTGCAGCATGAGTTCAATCCCTGGCCAAGAAGATAACCCACATGGCACACATAGCAGACTTATGTCTCACCCACTGCTCCTCTTAGCAGTGTATTTCCGTCAGTCTACCTGCTCCTCACTTTGTCTCTGCTGAATCCTCTCACCACCATCGCAGCCCCCTACACCTCTGGACTGTACCCCAGTTCTTGTATGCATAAAAAAATCTTTAAAAAAAAAAAGATGAGGGCCCTCCCGGGTGGGGCAACAGGTTAAAGCACAGAACTACGAAGCTATCGCAGCCACTGCAGCAAAAGCTCCATCCCCATTCCCAGCCAGACAGCCGACCCACATGGCCCAGCAGACCTCTCCTGACTCCTACTGCTCCCCTCAGCAGTGTATTTTAGCCAGTCTGCCTGTTTTGCTCCCCACTGTCTCTGGTGAAGCCTCTCACCGCTTCTTACGTTAATTGCCTGTCTAAAATGTATAAAATAAACTTCTGCTGACAGCAGAAAAGGAAGACTTGCACCCAACTCCAACTCCTGTGTTTTCCTCGTGCCCGCTCCCCTTTCTTCCTTTTTTCCCCTTTTAGGAATCTCTGCTCGCTGAGGCCGCTCCCACCTTGAGACCCTGCCTGTTCTGCCCCCCAATAATCCGAGATAGGGAACAAAGAGTCTCCGACACCAGTCTCTTAGTTTTGAGAAATGACAGCATCCTTTTAAAAAGATTTTTAAATATTTATGCATAAAGGAACTGGGGTACAGGCCAGAAGTGTGGGGGTAAGATGATTTACCAGAGACAGAATAGGGAGCAGAACAGGTAGGTCTACTGAAACACATCTCTAAGGGGAGCAGCAGACAAGACAGGCCATGTCTGCTGAGCCATGTAGGTCAACTCCCTGGCCCTGGACAGAATTAGTGCTGCAGTGGTTGTGATAGCTTGATAGTGCTGAGACTTTAACTGCTTGTACCACCAAGGAGAACCTGAAAGCATCCTTTGAGCTACAATTCTTTTTTTAATTTGATATGCACATTTTGGTGTAATAGCTAAAAATCATTCATGGTCACAATGACAATACCTTTCTTTTATATGTTTTCATATAGTTTTAGTTCTTACATGTAGGTTTTTGGTACACCTCAAGGACTGATGGGGGGTTTTGGTATATGATGTGAAGTGTGGGTTCAACGTAATTTTTTTTATATGAGGCTATTCAGTTGCCTCAGTTGTTACACCTAGAATCTACTGTTGCCCTCACTGGATTATTTTAGCAACCTTGTCAAAGATCAATTGACCATAAATATGAGTTTATTTTTGGCCACACAATTCTAGTTCATTGCTTATTATGGCATACTGTTATTATGCCAGTATCAGTGTCTTCATTACAGTAGCTTTTGGAATTGGGATTGTAATTCCTCCAGTTTTATTCCTCTTTTTCGAGACTGTTGACATTGATCTTTTAGACTCTTGGCATATTAAACTGACATCTTCAAACATAACCCAATTTTCTCCATTTAAACAGTATGACTCCTTTGGGAGGCTCATTTAAATGCTTTGCTGAAATCAACACTGCTTTTACCTATCTCATTGATTGACATACAAATTTAATAAGCCTGTACAATAAATGAAAGGACAGGAGTCTGGCAGCCTTATTATTATTATTTTTTTTTTTTTGCCAAATACAACAGTACTTTAGTGATAGTCAAATTCTTTTCTATGACTCATTAGAAATCCATTTTAAAATTCTGCTAAGAGAGCCTCCCTGTTGACTCAAGGGTTAAAATGCACCTCTATCAAGCTATAGGCAGCCACTCCAGCACAAGTCCAATTCCTGGCCAAGGAGCTACCCAGATGGTGCAGCAGGCTTCTGTTCCTTTTAGCGGTATATTTCATAGATATGCCTGTTCTGCTCCCCACTCTGGTGAATCCTCTTACCACCCCACCACCCACACTCACTTCTGGCTGGTACCCCAGTTTTTTTTTAAAATGATTTATTTTTGCATACAGAACTGAGGTACAGGCCAGAGGTGCAGGGGCAGTGAGAAGATTTAGCAGAGTGGGGAGCAGAACAGGCAGGTTGACAGAGATAAACTGCTGAGGAGAGCAACAAGCAAGACAGGAAAGGTCTGCTGTGCCATGTGGGTCACCTCCAGGGTCTGGAATTGAACTCACACTGAAGAGGCTCCAGCTAGCTTGCAGTGCTGTGTCCCAACCCATTGTGCCATCAGGGAGGGCCCTGTACCCCAGTTCTTATATGCATAAGTAAATAAACCTCAGGAAAAAAATTCTGTTTAGAAAAAAATGTCAAACTGATGAATGGATTCCTATAAGCTGGCTACTAGCTGACCACTCATGACCTATTTTTGCTATCTGCAAATCATAGCAGAGTATCCTTTGACTTCCTTTGACTACCTATGGAGTTTAACCTGTATCACAAGGCTGGCCCAGGGACACCTTGGCCATTGTTGACCCGATTACATGACTATCTCCGATTATGGTAGTCTCAGGTTAACTCTGCTTCTAATAACACACTTTGCTGATGCAAATGTCTCTTGAGGGATAGTCATGATATCCCCTTCCCTGTCCCTCTAAAACTTTGTCCATCATTTCTATTCCCAGAGCTTATTCCTCCTACCATTCTCACATGATCAGCTTTTACTAGTACGCCTGTATGATTTCAATAAATGGCACAAGCACTTCTGCTCAAGCAGTAGTCTTGTCTTGCAAACTTGTTCTACAATTGCTGTGTTCCTCATTGTGTTCCTTCCATAAAGCAGCAACAAAGTTCCTGTCCCAATGGTGGACCATTCCTGAAATCTGCCCTTTTTCCCTTTTGCAAACCTTGCTGTTTCTGTTCTCTAACCATCTCCCAGTATCTATGATATATCTGTGATTACAGTTACTAAAATTATATGATTTCACAGCACAGCTGAGGAGTTCACAGAATGCAGTCTTTTCAAATAGACGTTATGCTATATCTAGTTTGTCATTCTGGCACGTCAGGAAGAGCCACACAAAATACATTTGTAGCTTAGTACATGTACTCATTCTGCTAAAATTCAAAGTTTCATTCAGAAATTGAGTTGGTTTTGGGAAATATCTCATAAAATAGTCTCTACGGCAATTTTCCCCAACTGGCATCCTGCTGAGGATATTTTAATAGGAGGTATAGAAATTTTCTATTCTATTTTGGCAGAGAAAAGACAATCCCTAAACTCAAGATGTAACTGGGTGGTCCCTAGGAGAAGGGAAGTTCCAGGTTCCCTGCCCCACCCAGAAGGAGGGTGGAACTGAGCAGAGAAAAAGGAGAGAGAAGAGAGAAGGAGGCAGATGGAGAAGAGACCTAAGGAAGCCACATGGAGCAGCAAACATGTGATGAAGAAACCGGGCTTGTTTCCTGACCCTGGACTGGTTAAGGCAGATGTGGGTGAGATACCGTAGGGAGGTGACTATGGCAGTGTTTATATTGATTTTGATTTTGCTCTTTTCCTCCCAGATTTGTCTGGCCATTTCTGGCCCTTTTCCATGGGTCCCGGCCAGAAGGTGCTTTAGTCTTGTGGCAGGCTTTCAGGCCTTGCTTTGGGCCAATCCCTTTTGGGTTGACTTTTGCCCACGAGGGGATGGGTAACTTCAGATGTTTGATTTAGAAGTTACATTCTTTGTGTTCCATATTGTATATTCACTGTATTAAAGTCACTTTTCATTAAAGCTTTATATGTTTTGTCTTGTTGCGGCGGATGGCAGAACCCACTTAGAGCAGGCAGGTTTTGGGGCTTCAGGGGTGCCTCTCTGAATTGAGGTACCCTATAACAAAGAGACTTGTCACGGAGAATGTTTTTTCTCCATAGCTCATAAAACTGTTTGCAGATAAAATCCTCTAAAGTTATGTCACTACCATTTCTTTTTCCAAAGTAATAAGGAAAAAGATACGACATCTCTGTAAAACTACACAGGAAATCACTGGGTTCAGCAGAGCACATAGTATTGGGTTCCATAGATCCACGTACAGGTTGCATTAAGTGCAATAATGTCGTTATTTTCTCTTGTTAAAGTGTTTTACCTAAGTATATTTCTACTGTACTAAGGCCTAAGCTTTTTAACACCAACAATTTACTATAAGACATTGTGATGCCCTCATCGATAGTGACCTGTTTAAAATTTAGTTTACTTTGGTATGTCTCCTGAGTTATTTTTATTTTTTTTAAAATATGGTCTCCTTGTCAGTTGCCCTATGGGTTGTCATCATACGCTTTACAGTGTCCCCATTAATAGGGTTACTTCCAATTGGTTATGGTTTTAATGACCAAATTATCCAATTTGTTAAAATAGTTTCTAAAGAAATGTGTATGTGGTGCTCTACAAATAAGAGCTTTTCTTGTCAATAAAACACTGAAATTCTGGCTAATAATGCTTCATATCTATTGTAGACCCACACATCTTTTTTGGTTTCTTATTTTTTTCAGCCATATTCTGTACTGAATATAACAATTCACCCATCTGGTTCAGTTCACGACTACAAATGGTGGTAGGAAAAATCAGAACTATGTCTCCAAATAGACAATCTTGCTAATTTTAAGCAAAGATCAGAAGCCAGTGCTTAGAAGGCTGAAGGATATATAGAAGGTAACTCAAGAGTTTTAGCATCTCAAGACCAAGTCTTTGATTGACTTATTACTTATTATCTATCAGGCTATTTACTCTTTTCTAAAAGAGATAAGACTTCCTAACTCCTCCCTGAGCTGTGAAGTAATAGCCTGCTTCACAGATTTACCAGATAAATCTCCCATCACTGTTTGGTATAGAGGAAAAGAAAAAGAAAAGTCTCTAAATTGGAGTTTCCACTAAAGCAAGGCCTGAAAACCTGCCACAAGACTAAAGCACCTCCTGGCAAGGACCCACAGAAAAGGATCAGAAATGGCCAGACAAGTCCAGGAGGGAAAGAGCAAAATCAAAAACAATATAAACACTGCCATAGTCAACCTCCCCACATGTCTCTCTCATATTGCTTTCAACCAGTCTAGGACCAAGAAATAAACATGGTTTCTTCACATCTCCCTTTGCTCCATGTGGCTTCCTCAGGTCTCCTGGCTCTCCATCCTTCCTTCCCCCCCAGATTCCTTCTCTTCTCAGCCCCACCCTCCTTCTGGATGGGGCAGGGAACCTGGAACTTCCCCTTTTCCTGGGGATCACCCATTTACAAGTCTTATGAGAAGCTTTCAGGCCTTGCTTTGGACTAATTCCTTTTGGGTAGACTTTTACCCAGGAGAAGATAATTTCAGGTGTTTGATTCAGAAATTATATTCTTTGTCTTCCCTGTATTGTATACTCACTGAATTAAAGTTCCTTTCCATTAAAGCTCTTACATTTTGTCTTGATGTGGTAGATGGCAGAACCTATTTAGAGCAGGCAGGTTTAGGGGTTCAGTGGCCCCTCTTTCCCTGCCCTGCAACAGAAGTAATGTGAATTTGGAAAATTTCAGTTTAGTAACGATGACTTCCTTCTAAATAATTCTACTCAGTATGTGAGGAGCAGAAAAATATCTGATTTGTAGCATAAGAAATCCAGTTTGTAAAGCCCCCTCTCAGGGCACGTCTGCAGTAAATGCTCACTAGTCTACATCCCAACTCAAGGTATACAAACCGTACCTTTTCTTTCTTTATTAAAAACAGCTTTGGAGAATTCAATCAGGAACAGGCTACATAATGCAGGATGCTCCTCAAAAGCAAGGTCCTGGCCTTTTTATTGATAAACTAGTCATACAGCATTCGTCATATGGGGAAGCAGAAAAGGAGACAGGGAAGAAGCAGCAGAGGGTGGAACTGTACTTCTCATCAGCCAGTTGCTTGGTATGTAGATCAAGCCCTGATTCCCCAGTCAGGATTTCAATCTTATCAATAAGGCAGTCCACTGATCAGCTTCTAGGTTTCTTTGTTATGTATCAGTCAGTGCCCCACCCCCATTCCTTGGCATTCCAGGTCATAGCTCTTGATGTGCACACCCTTCCCAGGGTGACCAGCTTTTTATGCTCTTAATTGCTGTGAAAGGCACCTTGTAGGTTGGACTCCTATGACCTGACAGTTCGACCTTGCTTTAGGAATACAGAACTGTAGGTAACAAAATGGAGGCTGGTAGGCTGCTTAGGCCACAAGTCTTGAACAAGATGGCCTCATTATCACACAGTGAGAATAAAGAAAGGGAAAGGATTAGAATGCTGTTAAGTTTAAGCACAGGGCAGAAGAAAATTACAGAAATGCCTATTATTCTCATCAGAAAGAGTGGGGAGCAGAACAGGCAGATTGACAAAACACACTGCTGAGGGAGCAGTGGGCGAGACAGGAGAAGTCTGCCACACAATGTGGGTCAGCTCCGGGGCTGGGGATCAAACTCATACTGAAACAGCCATGGCTTGGTTTAGCTCTGCAGTATAGCGCTCCAACCCGCTGCGCCACCAGGGAAGGGTCGGAAATGTAATTTTTAAAAACTGATATAATGTTATGTTTCATCCATGTTCAAATACACAATGCACGGGTAGATAAAAAAAGAACATAATAAATAAAATTGGCAAACTATTTAAATGTCTTATTTTTATAATTTTATAGTATTTTTCTTTAGAAACTGATAAACCTATGGCCATGGCATAGTTTCCTCCAAATAACCACTACTTCTATTTTATAATTTCTCCAAATCCTAAAGAAAAGCTGAAACACCATGTAAGTTATTTTGAATGGACTTTTGAGACAAGACAAATGGGAAGAGGGTAAATGTTAAAATGTAAGACTGATCCACAGAAAGTTCCTTCTGTTCCCCAATGTTATAGCAGCTTTATTTAAGCATTAATAATAATGGAATGTGGAATGGAATGTCCATCAAGACTATTAAGTCAGTAAGATGTGTTTATATACACAAAATGTAGTATACAGTCATAAGAAAGGATGACAGGCAGCCATCTTCAACAAAGTAGAGTGAATATGAGAGAATATCATGCAACAAAGTTAAGTCAGAATGATAAATACTGGACACATTTACATAGCAGACAGTTTGAGAATACAAAACACTTCCACAAAGGAGGGGACATTAATAAATATCCTGAGGGCTCAGGGTTAAGGAGTGGGGAGGGAAAGGGTCAAGGGGATACAGGAGTGGTACAGGGGTGGAGGGAGAATTTGTAAGACTTTTCATTTATTACTGCTTTGAGTCTTTTGTTGTGCCAATAAATCTTAAAATAAGAAAAGCTACTCCTACTCTACAGACTAAAGTTAGAAGATATGAGCTGACGAAAGATCTGAGGCACACAGCAAGGGAAAGGGAGGGAGGGGATCAAACACAGCAGAGAACACAAGGGCATATGGTGGTGGGTTCTTACAAAAATACAGGTGATACGGTGACGGGAGAACTATGGGGACTACACCTGAAGAGAGAAACCAACTATTGTACAAAAATGAAAATGTAGTTAAGAAAACTGAAAAAACAAGAAGATATGAAAAGGCATGTAATAAAAGCTGGGTACAATATCTCATTCAAGGCTGTAAAATCAAGGACAACTTGACAAATAGGTGACAGATACCAAACCTGTAGACCTTTTCTATATTAAAGGAGTCAGGAGTCACAGAAAGAAATCACATCCTACCTGGAGAGAGTCAAGGGGCAGTGCTGGCCTTGAGATGAATGCCTCTACCTCCTGTGTCCAGGCAGCACAGGAGACCCATTTGATAGCACAGACATACACATCTGTGTGGGAGACACTGTGATTTCATACATGATGAAGGGGGCTCAGTTATAGAAAACTCCTATAGAACACATGGACAAAGTCAAGCAAGTTATTTATTTTAACCACGAATATTTATTGATGGGTCAAATACAATTTTAATGGAACAATAAGGCACAACTGTGGATTAAAACAGTTTGCTATACAGCCAAAAGAAGGAAAACGCCATAATTTTAGGACCTTAAATACGCAAGTCAAGGAGCCTCTGAAGCACCTCTCTTTACAGATCAGACAATCTCCCCTTTTATACAATTCCTATAATACATCACTTTACCACAAAATGAGACTGATACTTCATCAAGAATTCGTCAGCCACTTATACTTGAGTTGTCCAGCCTGGTTACTCCTCTACTTCCCACTCTTCCCAAGCTTGGAATTTTCCTTTTCCCCAGCAACTCCCTTCTTAAAGTATTGTGTCTACACATCGTGGATAGTCTTCCAAAGCAAGAAAACAAGCAAGCAAGCAAGCAATGAGGCAGAGAAAGCCATCCAGAGGCAGATATAAGGACTAACAGACTCATAAGGATAGACATTGCAATGAAAACAACCTGATTTGAAGAGTCTGTACAAAGCTGACTTAGGCAGAGAAGTTGCTATGGCTCATACTAAGGCCTATGATGTCATCTCAGGTTGTGCCACTAAGGCCAGTTCCCCTGTTTCTACGGGATAAGCAGTGGTCTATGAGTGAAGTTGGTAAGTCAATGTAAGCAGACCGCTAATACAATACATTCAATGCTTTGGACCTCTATCAAGAGCTGACTATGGCTTCCAGCATTAACGTTTGCCAAGTATGAAATCCATAGAGAATTTTGTGCAAAACTTCAATACACTGAGGACAATCTTTAAATCTCCTGGACTTGGATAAGTTAGGCACTTCCATAACACTAATCTTTCTACTTGGACATGTGAAGTGAAAAAACATTCCAGGGCACATAACACTGAGGCATAAATCATGCTGCAGAGGTGGGAACACATGAGGCTTTCAGGATGCCCAGCTTCCTTGTTCAAAAAGTCATGAGCAAGTCCCTAAGCACACCATTCTGGTGGTAACAGTGTTTCAGAACTAAGCAAACCTGCAGGCATATGGCTATTTTCTGAAGAGTCAACACTGTACTAAGAAGAGTTGTCATGTAGGTACATATGTTGAGAATCAGAGGCCAGAGGTAGTGACCTGGGCAAACCACCTTAAGACTCAGCTCTACACCTCTTCTCAAGGCCACCGCCTTTTAACAAACATCTCTAACCAACAGTCCTTTGATTACAAAGCAGAGTGAAGGGGACCAAAAGATGGTCACATTCTTCTGAGAAAAGTATTGGTCACCAAAAAGCTCCCGGAGAAGCAACCTCCAGAGATCCATTCAAGAAGAAAGACAGATAAAAACTGTCAGACCACCAAGCTATGCTGTCAAATCAGGAATACACTGAACAGGAATAGCTAGGGTGCCAAGTAGAACAGAGGAAACTGAAGCTTAATAAAAATCAAAGAGAATGAAAGTGAATGCTATGTTGGATGACAAAGAAGAACAGACACATAAAGGAGGAAGGAGCATGCTGAAGCCGAGCTGGAGGGAAGGCGGCCTGGCTACAGTCTATACCCCGTGAAAGCTTTGCTGGCTGATTCTTGGCATGATTCCCTCTCTCATTTTCTCAGCCCACACAGACATGTGGCATCCAGCAGCAGGACAGGCAGAGATAACTGGTGAATGACAGCAGACAGCAGTAGACCAGACGTACCATTCTGTAATGCCCTGTTTATACACCAAAGGCAGGTTTGCGGTGACAGAACATAGTTGGGGTTGTCATGCAACAGCAATTGTACTTTGGGAGAAGGGGACTGATGGAGTGGGGGTGGGGTTGGTGGGTGGGAGGACTCTCAAGTTCCAGTTCTTAAATACTAGAAAGCAAGGAACAGTTTGGTCTCAGTCCTTCAGTGAAGAAATCGGATGCTCATTTTCTGTTCTACGTCCACTTTCTCCAAAACCTGGGGAAAAAACCAAATTATAGTTATAAAGGTCACAACAGTAGAAACTGTCCTAATTCTCATCTGAATGTTCATTTCTCTCTTCCTCCCATGTAGCACAATTAAATTTTGTCAATCCAAGAGGTAAAAGACTGACCTTAACAAATTCTGTGAAAGATATGGCGCTATCTCCATCCTGATCAGCCTCCTGGATGGTCCTGTCTGCAATGCTGCCCAGCTGCTCATCAGAGATATTCACTCCAACCATCATGCGTAGCACCTGCAGGACCAAGAGCCAGGGGTTAATGGCTAGGGAATTTTTTTCCTTAGATGAAAAAGAAAGCCACTCCACCCTTTTTTCCTTTGATATCCTCACGCATAACAGCCAGAAAACTGAGATCCTGATTTTCTCATCCAAGTCATCCCAGATGATGATATGAGCAGAACGCTTGGCAAGAAACAACTTTCTGGATAGGAAGACACAGTATCACTTGGAAGAGTTTTTTCCATTTTGTATTTCTCCATTCTTCCTGACCAGAAGGCAGATTTAATGCCTGATGGCATAGCAGCCATCACTGTACCAGGAAGTGAAAGTCATTTATGCTTTGGAATAGAGAAGCCTGGTTCCTAGATATCATTTGGCTATTTTAGTAATTTTGACAATCTATCCCTAGACTTCTTGTTGCTCGAGGAAAACTAGTTCATTATAAATTTAATCCAGTTCCACAGGGACTTTCTGAAATCCCAATTGCCTAAAATGAAGCATTTAGGAACATCTAGCTATTTCTAAAGTGTAAGGAAGGTTACTGGAAGGTTACACGCTGAAGCTCTATTGCCAGAGAAATAATTAACACATATAAAGAACTGGCTGTGAAAACTAAAGAGAATTTAACACTGCTTCACCAAATGTGTCTTAAATATAACAAAGAAGGCCCTCCCTGGTGGCACAGTGGGTTAAAGCACAGCACTAAGAAGCTAAAGCCACTTTAGCATGAGTTCGATCCCTGCCTGCCCCAGAGGTGACCATATGGCGTGGCACACCTCTCCTGGCCCGCCCGCTGCTCCCCTTAGCAGTGTACTTCGTTAATCTGCCTGTTCTGCTCTGCACTCTGTCTCTGGTGAGGCCTCTCACTGTCCCTGCACCTCTGGCCTGTGACCCAGTTCTGTATGCACAAATAAATAAATCTTAATACACACACACACACACACACACACATATATACACACACATATATATATATAAAACAAAGAAACCACTTGCTCTAATTCTCCAACATCTTTAGGTGTGAATATACTTGAAAATTGTTTCCTCAAGCAAAACAAATAACTATGAGACTAAGGCAATATGAAATGGGAGGACAGGTGCTTTTGTGAGACTTCCCATCACTACATTAGGCCCCTCTGTCTTCACAGTTAAAAGCTGAGTTTTTAACACAGAAAGAAAAGTCCTCTAGCTCAGCTGTTCACAGGCTTTCCTCTCCCTGATTCTCTTTCATGCTTCTCCAATCTTGTGAAATAGATTTGTAAAAATGAAATTACAGTATATTATGAAAAGAGAAAAAGATGAAATGATTAGTATCAACAAACTAGTACCACTAAAAAAAAACAGTAATTTCCCCCAGGTGATTCGTTCTACCTTGCATCTAAAAGAGGACTATGTACACTGCAAGTGTAAATAAGAACTCTCCCACATACCTGTAACAGCTCATCACGGGAGATCTTATCATCTTTATCCAAATCATATAGTCGAAAAGCAACTGGTAAGGAAAAACAAGAAGTTTGTAGAAATTCAATAGTGCAAAGTAAAGTATTAGCCTCCTTTCAAGGAGTTAAATAAATAAAAGATACTGGATGGAATAATTTTTTTTAAAGAGCAATTGCCATTACTTGAAGAACTTTTAATGACATAACATTTCAGAAATTGAAATGCATCTCAAAATTATGACATCTTAGCTTTAGTGAAATATGATTCAGCTGTGGACAAATCAAAAATTTTTATTAAAAAGAAAGCTAAATATCCTTATGATTGCCCAAACCCTTTAAATGTTTCTATAACCTAGGTCCTCTCAGCCCACCCATCAATACTACCATGCATACTTACACTAAATAACTGATTCCACAAAGTACTGTTCTGGGAAAATAGCCACTTTGGCAAATTCAAGCTAAATTTCTAACAAAATTAACAAGAATTGGATGGTCTCCTGGCCCTAACAAGTCTTTTTCTCTCTTTGATAACAACTAAGTCTTTTAGAAACTAGGGTATATAATAAAAGAACTCAGAAGAGAAAATCTATGTCATGTTGCTGATGGGCTACTAAGCGATTAGTATGATAACACTGGATCACAGGCACGGAGAGAAACATCACACTGGAGAAATGACTGCCTTGTAATAATATCTGAGTTTAGTATGGTTTTGAAACTTTGAATCATTCAACTGTGCCACCAAAGTTTTTGATTTTCTCTTCCCTTGAACCTCCATCTCCTGGCATCTCCAGTTCCATGGTTATAAATAAATCTAATGTCAATAGCTCCCAATGGGCATCTTTGGTTGTACTGACCTCCTTGAAGCCCCTCACGTTGATGTCAGAGCAATCAGGGATACCCAGAAATGTGCAGGCTCTGCCAAGCCCTAGCTCCATGAACACGAGGCAAGTTCCTTAACCTCTCAGTGTCCCAGGTGCCCAGGAGTTGGAGAGTGAAAATATCAGAATCTACTTCAAAGGGCTATGAGGAGTGACGGACTTAGCCCAAGGAAGAAACTTCACACAGTACGAGCTACCTGCTATCACTTCACTGCCATCCTTTCACACCACTTACCACTCATTTCTTTCCAGATAATGCTGCTTTGTTTTCTGATAGCACCAAGTCCTCAATTCTACTCAAGGGCCCATACACAGTTATTCCCTCTGCCTAGAGTTCTCATCTATTCTTTATCTGGTAAGCTTCCTCTTAGCTCAAATTTCAGCTCCTCAGAGGTTTTCTTTCACTGCCCATTCTTTCTGAAGTAGTAACATCCCCTATCACTTTCTTATCTCACTTAATTTGTTTTCTTCACAGAATGTGTCATGACCATAAATCTTACTTATTTTGTTCCACATAGTTGGGCAACCTTAATAGGTCATTAGTTCATTGAAAACAAAGACCTTGAGCCCACTCTGGTGGTACAATGGGTTAAAGCACAGCACTGCAAAGTCAGCCACACAAACTTCAGCTCTAGTTTGATCCCCAGCCAGGGAGGTGACCCTCATGGCACAGCAAGCCTCTCCTGTCTTGCCTGCTGCACCCCTCAGCAGTGTCGATTTGCCTGTTCTGCTCCCCACTATGTTTCTAGTGAATCCTCTCACCACATCTACACCTCTAGCCTGTACCTCAGTTCTTGTATGTGCAAATAAATACATCTTTTTTAAAAAGTATACCTTTTCCTCCCAAACTCTATTGAAAATTGGCCTTTCCCTCCTTTATGAACGTTGGAAACAAACCACAGCAGTGATAGCAATGTTGAGTACAGTGTACTGTACTCAACAGAAATCAGAAATTTTTATTTCACATTACAGTTGTTGCTAATATTCCAACCGATCATTTGTGCTAAGTTAAATATTTTTAAAGTTCTCAGACTTGCTATTGTAGCCCATTATTTAATATATATCATAAAAAAGTACATATATTACTACATCAGAGTTGTTTAAATATTTTGTTGATTTCAATTTTTTATACTCCTATTATTTTATGAATGCAAACACATTTTGATATGGATAGAATCCCTTGGTAACTGTCAAGGGAGTTCATGACTAAAAAAGGCAGAATTGATGTGGAGGAAATTCAATTAACAGATTTCTGTTAGTTCTGATGACTGATGTCTCTTGTTATCCTGGACAAGAAAACCAAGCATAGACTGTTTCTGTCATCGCCTTAACCAACTCACTGTATTTTTGGATGTCTCTCCTAGCTCTGCAAATCATTCCAATTAATGTGCTGCTGCCTGCTATATACTTGGAGCTAACAGACTACTCCAGTGGAATTAGATGCTTACCTAAGAGTTAGGTGCGTCAATTATCCTAGCTACTCATCTTGTACTATTTGTAATTTTAACAAAACTATATAATTTAATTTAAAAAAATGAAATGTGTATGCAAAGAGAATGTTACATTTTCTATGAAAATCAAACTGATGGTTTTTGAAAGACTCTAAGTCACTGGAAAAATTGCTTGCTAAAGCAAGCATGGCAGGACAATTATAAAAGATTGAGGGGGAAATTAACTAGAAAGATTCTAATCTCACAATGCCTTAAGAGTGTCTTCTTAAAAGAAACTACAAGGGCCTTCCCTGGTGGTACAACAGACAACGGGTTAAAAGCACAGCACTGTGGGCCCTCCCTGGTGGCGCAGCGGGTTAAAGCACTGCACTGAGAAGCTAAAGCCACTTCCGCATGAGTTCAAATCCCGCCTGCCCCGGAGGAGACCACATGGCGAGGCAGACCTCTCCTGACCCGCCCGCTGCTCCCCTCAGCAGTGTACTTCGTCAATCTGCCTGTTCTGCTCCCCGCTCTGTCTCTGGTGAAGCCTCTCACCGCCCCTGAGCCTCTGGCCTGTACCCCAGTTCTGTATGTACAAATAAATAAATCTTTAAAAAAAAAAAAAAAAAAAAGCACAGCACTGTGAAGCTCACGCAGACCTGGCCAGAAAGGTGATCCACATGATGTGGCAGACCTCTCCTGACCTGCCCGCTGCTCCCCTCAGCAGTGTACTTTGTTGATCTGCCTGTTCTGTTCCCCGTATCTGCCTCTGGTGAATACTCTCGCCACCTCAGTTCTGTATACATAAAAAAATCTTTAAAACAAAAGAACAGCAACTACAACGGAAACCTTAGACTGTATATTACAGAAATGTGCAGGCTCTGCCAAGCCTGCTCTATAGATGTGCTCTATAAAAAAAGTCACACAACTCCCACCAGCATCCTGGTTGTATTGATCCTGTATCAAAAGACTGGATGGTGAATGTGTTTTTATGTATCTTAAGGTAAAATACAATGTTTAATTATCTGTTGTTTACTATGGTTCAATGTTGTAGCTGCCGTTTTCAACAACTCTGACAATAAGGAATAAGAAAGTATCCTACTACACTGATGTCAGAGTCAGGCAGAAATGTACTAAATATCTGTTAAAAGTCTTAAAATGTAACACACAAACTTTGTCTCAAACTTTAAAGTAGAAATTGGAATTCACTAATAAATGTAGAATATCCAGTAAATTTAAGAATGATTCACTAGAGTTCTGTTTTATTTTATATTCAGCTTAGGATCAAAGCTTTCTGTTTGTGATTCAGGTATGTGATATTATGGTTAAAATAAAAAGAGCAATATTCAGTATTTTGGTTCAAAAATCTTCCCTATCTACATAATAACATATTTCAGTGCTTCCCAAACTCCTTACCTTAACCATCAAGAGAAGAGTAAATTCATACTCTTATAGCATGGAAATTTGGGGAGGTAACCCAAGGCCACAAGTAAAAAGTTACTTCAATTTGATGAAAATCTTTGAAATATACGTAACTTTAGCTAATTATATTCTATACTTTATCTTCATTTGTTTCAACATAAAAACTTTTTTTTCTAGTTGGTTTTACTTTAAGAGACAGTAATCATCTAAAAAATCTTTCTCAATGAAATGTATTTTTTTAATTTGATTCTTCTTTTCACATAGGTGAACTGGGGTATAGGCTAGAGGTACAAGGGTGTGTTGGTGAGAAGATTTACCAGAGACAAGAGGGGGGAGCAGAACAGGTGGACTTACTGAAAATACAGCTGAGGAGAGCAGCAGGCAAGATAGGAGAAGTATGCTGCACTATATGAGGGGTTAGCTCCCTGGCTGGGGATAGAACTCACGCTGTAGCAGCGGTAGCATGGAGACTTAACCCCTAGGCCACTGGGGAGGCCCTTCATCAGTTGTTTGATCCCTTTTGGATCCCTCAAACTTTTCATCTTTGAGCTTGAATTTGGAACTTTACCCAACAATAACAAGATTTTCCTGTTGTAGTGCATTATGAAGTTTTTCTATAGATAAATGAAGGCAACCCGTACCTCCATGAAAGTCAGTTTCTCTGTCAAAAGGAATAGTGCACTTTCATACAAGTATTTATGCAAAGTATTCTCTCAGCTCATTTAAGATACTCATACTTGCTCTGACAAATGTCATGTAGGCCCATACTTGTTTCCAGCAACACTGTCCCTTACTGGCAAAGCCACTACAATTTCAATTTTTATTTCAACTTGAAGAAAGTGTTGTAAGAGATTGGCCAATATCATATATGTACCAACAAGGGCAGAGGAAAAGCTAACAAGTATGCAAGAAAAGTAGGCAAGAAGCATGGGGATAAAAATGAAATCATATACTAGCCCATTTGGTCTAACCCTACTAAAGCCATATCTACTATCTATCAAATCCTATGATGGGCTGAAGACCCATTATTTTTACAAGGGCTGATTGCAGGGAGTTGGGGGTAGGGGGTGTGGGGAACAGAATAGGGACTTTTTCACTGTTGTCACTGTAGCACTTATCACGGTGCCTAGCACACAGTAGATATTCTGTGAATATAAGGATAACTTAGCAGCTAAAATGGTGATAAACACCAGTTGAATCACTACACATATCTGCTGTGGGACCCCTTAGGATACCACTTTACAGAAAAGGAAATTGAAAACCAAAGATTTTTAACTTACTTATCCAAAGTCACATGGTCAAAAATGGTGGAACTGAACTTCAAACCCAGCCTGGTTAGTTCTAGAGTCTGATCTCAGCTGCTATAATAATGTAACTATTTGTCCAATGAATTGAGTAAATAAATGATCTGTAAAAAATGAAAACCAAATATTTTAAGTCCTTACAGTGAAGTTTGTTGCTTCGGCTGTTGAGTGGTTCTGGTCCGTTTACATCTTTGCTCTTTTCATTATCCTCAATAGGTCGGAAATGAGCCAAAGTTCTCATGAATCCACGGAAATTTACCTGGTCCTCTCTGATTGGGAAATACAACAGAACACCATGTCAACCAAGATGATTGTTTCTTATGAACACAACATTATACTAGCAATAGCTTTAGCTACAGTGGCTTGAAAAGTCCATTTAATATCTCTTTTCATACGTGTGGCTCTCTATAGCTCATAAAACATCTTCATTTAAGCCTCACTCAACCCTTGTGAAGTAGGTATTATTATTTCCATTTTTTTT